CGTTAGAGAGGAATTATTAGTCATACCGTACGGCACAATGTTACCCCCCAAGCAAAATATTTAACACTTACCTTGCCGGGTAATCTTAATGGTATCCTGACAACACGAGATAGTGTCACGTGATCAGGAAAGTGCTAGTTCGCGGTCATAGTGACACTATTGTGTCACGTGTGGCCGGGAAGTTAACTGGGGATTCAAAAGTAGTATATACAATGGCGGCGAGATCTAAGGGCCTGACAAATCTTTTATTTATGAAATAAAGCTTTACAGAGGCTTTTGTTGGACTTGATCTCGGACTATCACTGTATATACTACTTTATACTATAAATTGTATAAAAGCCACAAATAGAATCCCTGACTGTGCAACCTTATTTGATACTGATGTTCAGAACCATAACATACATGTTTATGGACTTATAATGTAGAAAATAGGATTGACATGCACAAATAGTGTCACTCTCTGTCGAAACACTTAAGGTCCCAATATATCGCAATACGGATACCTGATTCACAATACAGTATATTGCTATACAGTTTATTTGTGAATACACATCCCTAGTGGTCTAGCAAACGTAACTCCAGGGCAGTTCTGTTGCAAATAAAGTAAAGTTGCCATTTACAAAATCTCATCTGGGTACCCGACAGTTTTGAAGTTCCCCTCAATAACAATCACTGGCGTCCCTGCTGTTGCTGTAACCCAACACAGTCCACCTCCAAACGAACCCGTCCCAAAAGACATGGCCTGATGTAACATTCACCTGTGCGTCTAGAGACGCGTATCCTGCCGTCAGCTTTGTAAAGATGGAAACTTAACTCATCGGTGAAGAGAACCCTCATCTACCCAAGTACTCCCCATCGCATTTGTAGTCTGCTCCACTGGAGATGTTGATGTTCTGGCATCGGAAATGGCGGAGACCTGTGTCAGTGGTGCATGGTTTAAATCCATCTGTCATGACGCGAGGTCGTCGTCAGTAGCCATCGCCTTTACAGTCTATTTCTTGATTGTTTAGCTGTAAACGTCGCCATAGATGCCAAATGGTGTTTCATTGGGTATTGAATTGGCGAGAAGCAGCATGCTGCAAGGTGCCAGACTGAACCACATCTATAGCTCTCCATCTGTTGTTTTCCCCGAACCCGTGAAGGTCCGGTATAGAATATTGATCTTCAGTAACCCATGCTTGTCGTAGGAGGCGACTAACGGTATCAGGTGGTCAGGCTCGCTGACTTGGTTGACACATGTCATCGGTTCCCAATTGCGCAGATCGATTGTCGTGCTGTTGATCTGTGTGGTTGTCTGGTCCAGACTCGATTATTTACACACCGCCGCCATATAGCAGGAATATTACTGAGTGCGGCGTAAAACTAAACTCACTCTTTCACTACTTCCCCCGAGGCATATTTCAGAAGGATGTATATAGGTATTTTCCCCATGATTACTGCACTTCATGGAAATATTAAACGTCTGGTTGTCTCCCCTTTTAAAGTGAACAATTTCTTCGAATATGTCATGCTTCTTGCCAATTTTGAGCAGCTGTTTTCTCTGGGAATATATTGAAGTGCACATTTACCTTTAGTCAGACACAACACGTATAAGCATGGGAAACTTGGATGACTGAGTATTGTCATTTTAGCAATGTTCAAACAAAACACGTTATATATGGGGTTACAATTTCTCAATAATGTACAGATTATAGTGCTTTTGTTGGGTTGTGTCCCAACCGGGATTCAAGCCCGTACTTACAGAGTCAAACACCTAATCGCCAGCGGATGCCTGACTTTTGTGCTGGCGATGAAGTGCCTTACTTTACGTTACTGAGAAAGTGTAATCCCAAAATTATATAACATGTGTGACTTTTTTAAATATTAAGAATTTTCACTACAGGGGACGCAAGAAATAAGCTTCACATGTAGTTCCCATGAGCGAAAGTTTTAACCATTTGGCTTATCAAGACGATCTTCCTGCATTGTAGATAAATCAGTGGTTCGTTAAAGCTTACTCACTGAAAGAGTAATCATTTGCCTCGCTCTGTTAAGGTCCAAGGATTGTTAAAGTAGAAAACAGCTTATAGTCCATCAGCTGACATCACAGTACGGCGCCATTGAACACCAAGTTGCCTTTCCTCTTTTGGTTCATAGATTGTTAGAATGCTGAATACCAATTTCAACTAGAAATTTAAATATTCCTGTTTTCCTTCTGAATGTGTTTAGATGTTTTCAGCTATGACACTGGCTCATTGGGTTTCGGGGCGGTTGGGTAGCCTAGTGGTTAAAGCGTTCGCTCGTAACACTGAAGACCCGGGTTCGATTCCCCACATGGGTACAATATGTGAAGCCCATTTGTGGTGTCCCCGACCATAATATTGCTGGAATATTGCTAAAAGCGGCGTAAAACCAAACTTACTCATTCATTTCGGTTTCAGGAGACTGCTCCTTCAGAGAGGGGTTTATCTACAGCAGGATCAGTAAAGCCTGCTTCAGCATCAGGAGTAACGATGGTCTTAAGATCTGGGATTCATGCAAAGCGTTTTGCAAGCTCAGGAACCTTCGACTCGCAACAGTAGATAGCAAGGAGAAGTACGACTACACAGTGGCGACGATCAAACAGTCCTCTCGTAAGTTAATGATGAAGTGTGTGAGCAGGTATGGATGCGCATTAACGTTTGTTTGTCTCAATCAACAGTCTCATAATTGATACAAGATTGAGAAAACAAGATACTTCTCTAAAAGTGAAAACATTAAATTCTATCAAAAATGGCTGTTATATCATGCTCTTGTTGACCAGTAGTACACTCCAAGCCATCGGTATAACACCATATTCAACTTCTCAGGCAAATCTATATCACAGTATATGACATAAAAGTGTCATTTCATCCATCATGTGCTAGTCATTTTTCCTTATATTCTATATACTTTATTTCATTTGCTACCTATAATATCAGTGTGAATGTGTGCGTGAATGCAATGTGCTTGTCTATCTAAAGTCTTTAAGAAACAAAAAGACAAAAAAACAGAAGCCTGTTGCTTCAATCTCTTTCCCCTTTATTGATGGGGCTTCTACCCCAATTTGTAACAGGGGTTTCTGAAATGAAAAGATAATTACTCCCCCCCAAAAAAACCCCAAACAAAACAAAACAAAAAACAAACACTAAAACGACAAACAACAACAACAACAACAACAACAAAACAAACAAAAACCAAAAAAACCCAAAACATCAACATTTGTTTGTATTGTGTGTTTCGGTCACAGCACGTTCTTCTGAATTGAGAAGCCGAATGTTTTCGCTTTTTCAGTAAATATGTTGTAAGGACGCCAACATGTCAAGCTTAAGTATATACATGTGTCCGCATTCATTAGAAGTGGACTTGAGTCACTGCAGTTGCAATTTCCCCTCTGTGGTGCTTCCAGGTTACAATAGGCCCTTGGAAACCAAGGCGGTGGGATAGCCTAGTGGTTAAAGCGTTCGCTTGTCACGCCGAAGCCCGGGTTCAATTCCCCACATGGGTACAATGTGTGAAGCCCATTTCTGGTGTCCCCTGTCGTGATATTGCTGGAACATTGCTAAAAGCGGCGTAAAACTCAACTCACTCACTTAGAAACCAGTGCTTGCCCGCAAGCAATGCTTGCAAGAGCCATTTGTAATGCAATTTGATGGTCAGACTCCATCGTTTATAGAGAAGCAAATGATTCGAAATTAAGTGAACAGCTGTTTGACATTTTACGCGTCTAGGTGGTTGTTCTGAATGCTAAAAGTACATTAGTTCAACTTATACTGAAACTGGCTGCAACTGCACTTGCACCAACAATGGCGCGAAATGTCGATGCACAGAAATACTGGGATCAAATCTGGACAGATAGACATTTTTGTGTGACCTGTTACATGAGGAAAGAGCCATTTAGATTTCTTTAAGAGTGCGCTCTCAGTTGGAATTCATACAACTTTGATGAACTTTCAGAATTTAAAAACGAAATATTTATGTTTGCTTAGGTGAGTAGCTGATAGGTTATGAAACCAAGGCTTCACATATGATTTTAATAGGAGTTCCACATAGAATATTTGTAGCCACATCCCCTACGTACATACAGGATAAAATAATGGTGTTGAATGTTTATGAATCAATACAAAGAGCTCTTCATTTAATGTAAAATAGAATTGAAATTTTAAATTAATTCATATAATGTATGAATGATTTTAAACTGTGTTATATTTGGGATTACACTTTCTTTGTAAAGTACAGATCCTAGTACTTTTGTTGGCTTGAGTCCCATCCGGGATTCGAACCCACACCCTCAGAGTCAGGCACCTAATCGCAACACACAAAGCCAGACGCCTAGACCGCTCAGCCACCGCGGCTTCCACAAAAAAGGAAGTCGGACAACTGGTGGTCTAGACTGCGGACTTTGTGTACCCCTCTGATAAGTGTTTATTGACACAGCTCCCACGGCATGAAATACACAATGGCATTTAGAAAGTGGTCAAATGTAACATGTGCTATTTTTGGGATTACATTTTCTTTGTAAAGTACAGATTCTAGTACTTTTGTGGGGTTGAGTCCCATCCGGGATTCGAACCCACATGTGGAGCACAGTGGTTTAGTGGTTAGCATGCTGGCCTCTCACGCCAAAGGCCCGGGTTCGAATCCCGGTGGAGACACGAACATTTTTGACCTGGGTCTCATACTGTGTTTTCTCCCTGGGCAAGGCACTTCGTCCACATTGCACTCAGTCCAACCAGCTGTTTAAATGGGTACCTGAAAAGCGGGTGTACGGACCTATACGGTCGCGCTTAGTGCTTAGTAGCAGCTTTGAAAGTACAATTCCATCAGGGTAATAATGTAACACCAGAAAACAGCATCGCGTTGGATTCTAGGCGCCAAAATGAGCATTATTATTATTGTTATTATGTTACATTTCACCAGATTGAACCAAACAATCAAACAGATTCATGTTGGTTTCATTTAATTTCATTTTCATTAACACATTTCCCATAATGATTGATCAGGGTTCAAGGGATATGCCAACTACTACATTGGACTCAATGACCACGCAAAGGAAGGGAAGTTTGTATGGGTTGACGGAACTCCTGCACAGTGGACCAAGTGGGAGAAAGGCAGGCCTTTGAAGGATGTCAAGAGAAACTGCGTCATCTTAGCAGGAAGCAGAACATACAATGGAGTGTTCTCGTTTGTGGATAAAAGAGGTCTTGATGCTGCCTTTCGTTGGATATGTGAAAAGGTTCTGCCATGACTCAAGGAAGGCTCCAAAGATGATTCATGATGCGGACCGATGGTAAAATCCGTTTGATGCATGAAAAGGTTCTACCCTAAGACAGTATGAGATGCATCAAAGCTTACAATAGTAATTTTCGGTGGATCAAACATTTCAGGCTATGTGGGGGGTATTGAGGAATAAAACCAATGTTGATCCAACGTTAGGCTAACGTTTTTTGGCCGAAGACGTTGGGTCAATGATGTTAGCTAACGTTGGCTGGTTGAATGGTTGGTTAAATGGTTGGCAAACCTAATTAGGAAATCCCAGCAGCACCTTTGAAACACACCCATTCCAGCTTTCGTAGTGTGGCAGATATAACTTTGTACATAGGGATTTTATTATTTTAATGTTTTCTATTCTGTATATATATATTTATCAGTAGGATAGTTAAGATATAGGTCATGTGTCCCTCAAGCCCTTAACAAACCCAAGCCATGACATGCTCAACTGACTGGCCAAGCTAACCCTCCAAGTTAAACCCTTTGTCTAATAGCTTGCACTCAGTCTGCACAAAGTCACAGACAGGGACTGTTCACATTAGGTCAGTTCAATATATCTCTGTATATTTATATTATTGCATTCATATGTTGCAGTACATTTAACTTGTTCTATTAAAAGTCAACTAAGTGTTTGCTATTATCTAAATCTCATCCATTATCTATTTACCTAAATATGCTAAACCAGGCTTATTAAATTGTAAATACTAACAAACAGCTTTTCTATATCTTTACTCTTGTGTGCATGAGATAAGAGTTGGAATGTGTTGCAGAACATTCTTATTTAAATTCTGTTGTGGTTAGGTATGTGTATGCAATAAACGGCATAAACATTTCAAGTAGTATATGAAGCGTATAAGTGTGTTACTCTTAGTTATGAGAGTATATATATATTTTATTCAGATATATTCTGGAAATATTGCTGTGCTGGTCGGTCGACACCCCAGTCTAATCCACAGGGTAGGCGCATTGTTTGTATTGCCCATTTGAGATTTGTATGATTATGAGATGTGTCATACTGTTTTGTACAATTAACTACATGTATATCCATTACTTAAGAAGTAGTATATACAATGATTGACCGCGATCAAGTCCAACAAAAGCCTTTTGCCAGGCCCTTAGATCTCACCACCATCGTATATACTACTTTTGAATCCCCAGTTAACTTCCCGGCCACACGTGACACTATTGGGTCACTATGACCGCGAACTAGCACTTTCCTGATCACGTGACACTATTGGGTCACTATGACTGCGATCCTGATCACGTGACGCTATGTCGTGTTGACCTCGAGGAAACGGCTGGTAGAGGTACCTCACGAGGGCCCTATCGGGTATCTGTTTCTCCTTCCCATGCGATGGTGCAGCTGACTCAGCCACCACTGATTTTAGTTTGATAGCGTCGGCTGGTTTCTTGCCGGTGAGCCGAGTGGTTTCGTGGTTGATAGCCGACACCACTTGAGGTAGCTGCGCTACCCATTCCGTCGATCGTTTCCCCGGGTTGACCAACTCTCTCGCATACTGGTGCCCCAATAAGCAATTGAATCTCTCGACTATGGCTTGGCTGCGATGGGCTCCGGCAGTGCCACGCCTGACCTGGACGCCGTGCTTGGCTAGCAGTTGTGACATGGCATCCATGAACTCCCGTCCGGGATCGACTTGCAGCTCTGTGGTCTGTGGGCCACGTCAGCGGACTGCGCTTGTATATGCGTTCGAATCCGCGGGCTACTTTGTCAGCATCCTTCGCCGTCAAGGGCTCGGCTTCCTTGTAGCGGCTGGCCATGTCCACGACGGTTAGGGCATACTTGTACCTCCTGTCGTGGGGTAGGAATAGGAGGTCGGCCTGGTGGACGCTATTGGGTATGTTAATGCCAAACTTTCCTCGGCGCACGTAGCATGGTGTCGGTAAATAGATCTGCCACAGGGATTGTTTTTCAAGCCACGCTTTGTCCTCGTCCGGGGATACTCGCGCCATTTTGGCCAGCTTATGTACGGCGCTAGCTCCTTTCCAGTACCCACGCGGGCTGTAGTAAATAGCCTCAAATTTTCTCTGGTTCCATGACATCGTTGTCGCCCCGACAGGGTATCGTATACATATATACACCTATGTTCTTGGTTCAATATTCTCATGCCCGTATGCGTATGTGTTGAACCTGTCGATGGCTATCCAACGCTTAGTGTCCATCGGTGATAGGGATGTCTTGTTTATCGTCAGTCCGTATATCCTATGCCCTTCGCTTCTAAGCGTGTTCATTTGATGCCTGAAGGTGCGGGTCTTGAACAGGGCTTCCTTGAATCTGGCGTGTTTGATGTGTGTTTCACCACGTACTTCTTAACATCCTTCGCCTTTCGGATCTCACCATTGTCGGCCTTCAGGATGGAGTACATCCTGTTAATATAGGATACCTCAGCTCAACGCTGCACATAAAATGACTAGCGCACAAGGTCACGGAATGAGGTTGAAAAAATGCATCAATACGAGGATCTCCGACCTCGGGGATACACGCGGATTCGACGACCCCGGAGTAGATGGTAAATTGTACGCCTTGCAACTGAAAAACACCATTTACAAACGCGTTGAAGTCCCCTCCATCAGTAGAACCCTAGGCGACATAGTAGATATCTAGGGAGTGGCCCTCAACACTCGGTTCGACCTAGTCTGCATCGGTGATAATAGAAGGGCGGTATCACAATCGTTCGGAGGCAAACTGTTTGACTTAGAAGATGTTGAGAGCACGACCGTCGCCGAAACAAGGCATATACGCTCATCTTCACCAACGACGACAAGTGGGTGCTGTTACCCTTTCACGATTGGTTTCTCAACATTAGGCTCGGCTCCCCCTACGTGTTCACTGAAAACAAAGACAACTACCTAAACAAAGTCGTGAACAACGGAACCCTGCTCGTGGTGGTACAACCCACATGCTGTCGAGCAAGCCCGGGATGCAAAATGTGACATTGCAGTTGGTGTCTGAATTCGAAGGCGTGGTCAACATCCTGGCGAGCCTACAGGCGAACTCGACGCTGGTCATCCAAGTTTACCTAGATGAACCACAGCGAGAAGTCGAAGCTGTGAAGGGGATCAGAATCCGGTGGGGGAAACAACATCGGTATGCCGTTTGCACTGTTTACGTGCGGGTGGGTGTTGACTCCCACACCAGTCTGCAGGGGGTCACCGTGACCGTGGAAGACACGATATCACTCACCAAGATCTTCTAACCCAACAACATACACTTCATAGGGGTGAAGTGTACCCCTGAGAAATTATCAGAAAAACAATTGGAAACTATCTCGTAATAGTATTATAGCAATGTCCAATCGTCATCGGCCCAACACCACACTTAACGATCTAGGAGACACGGAGGGATTCGATCAGCCCGGTGAGGAAGACACCTCGTACGTCCTGCATTTAAAAAACGGTGTGTACGTGCGGCGGCATCTGCCAGACGACTTTATAGAGCCCAAATGGTTGCTCAACATGACCCTCACAGCACCTTATATCTCGCTATACAAAGATAACTATGTCTCCGAAATTAGGAACAACGGTACCTTGCTCGGGGCTTTCATTCCGGGCTCGGAGGTTTATATAAGCCCTCAGCTAACACTGGATCAAACGAGCAACATGTTAGGGTTTGACGGCCTCGATTCCCAATTGGGTTTTATGACTGTGAAACCGGGCTCCATACTCATCATAGAAATCAATTTCGGAAAAATCCATTATGATTCACCACTACACCTTTTACCTGGGGTGACAATGTACCACTACGCCAGACACACGAACCAACGTTGCCGTATCGTCATACAACCGGACCCCTCAACGGGTTCTATAGATCCCGTAGTAAGTCACTGTGAGGTTCATGTGTACGCAAACTTACCTATTAATCTCTCACCTATTATCCTGCTCAGGGATCTAAACCTTATAAGCCTTAAGTACATTGATCGATTATTAACTGAAGCCCAATTAGAAAATATCTCATAAAATATATTATATGCACACAGAATGGGGCTGTACCCAGTCGTAGAGGAAGTCCCGAAGCCACTGGGAACCGTAGACGGGTTCCGCGTGAGACAGTTATGCGACATAAAACGCCAACTAGAACAAGACGGCGACACACGGGCAGCATTGTATAAGAAGTACCATAGAGCTTTCAATGTCGTTGATGGGGTTGATACCGCCCTTATGGCTACCAGTATGGGGTTAGGGGCAGTAGGTATGGGGTTGTTGGCCACCATCATAGCCGCACCTGCAGTGCTAGGCATCGAAATAACAGCTGGGGTGTCAGGGTTGGCTGGATTGGTGTTTAAGTTTGTGTCACGCATCGAAAGGCATTGAAACACGACGAGAGATCAGGATTCTGGCCGAAGCAAAGCTGAACACGGTAGTGAGCGTATTTCCACAGCACTCACTGACAGTAAGATCTCAGAGGACGAATCTCGTTCAAAACTCGACAAATACCATAAGAAGAAACAATAAATCCGTCCAAGTCTCGTAAGTCTGCTATCAGCGAAGACGAGAAAAAAGTACATAGAACAAGGGGTACGAAACATTAAACTGCTTCACACGACATAGCGTCACGTGATCAGGATCGCGGTCATAGTGACACAATAGTGTCACGTGTGGCCGGGAAGTTAACAGGGGATTCAAAGAGTAGTATATACAATGGCGGCGAGATCTAAATAAAGCTTTACAGAGGCTTTTGTTGGACTTGATCTCAGACTATCATTGTATATACTACTTAAGAAGTGTAATATAGATCAGTTAACCTCCTACCCATTTACTATAAGAGTACAATTTGTATAAAGCTTCATAATCTTATTGCAATTGGAATATTTATAAATATATATTGTGCTTTATACTTGGCAAGATTGGTTGTAACTTACTGTGTATTGTATGTTATCTAGTCTGTTTACAACTACTGGTATGACCTATTGCAACATTGATGATTGTATTATGTGTAGTATTAATGTATCATTATTTCTATAAATGTTTCAGGGTGAATTATCGACCAATAAATGCTCCTTCGGGCAATAGCTCACACCCGTAGCGTGTGTTTGTAGTTTGTTACATTCACTGCCCTGCTACAGTAGGACCCTTCAGCAAGGTCATCATTGCTTGTGATGGCCCTTTGGTCCAAAACGTCAGTGACACCGACTGTGTTGTCAACCACCAGTCTCTTGCTTAAAACCAAAGAACGACGCCTTTTCATTGTCAATTTGATTAGAAAGAAAGGTCAATGTACCCACTGAGTGTTCTGCCTCTCTGTCTTCTGGAGATACTGTATCATATTGTGATACTGATGAGAATTTGATACTTATGTGACTTAATTAATTTCAATACCATTGCTGACTACGCTTGGATAAAACTAAATGAGAGGTGACTAACAGGATCGGGTGTCAGCTTTGCTGACTTGGTTGACACATATCATCGTATTCCAGTTACGAAGATCCATGCTATCTGCGGGTTCCGAGTCGTCCCATCCAAATTAGACTCCCGGTTTCAAGGACTTTTCTAATAATTTGTTCCTCTATAACTATTGCTATAGACAATAGCTTATAACGAGTTATGCAATACCATATTTACTCTTTGTGAAAACGGCTAAATCTTTGCATGTGGTAATAGTAGTCGTAGAAGTATAATAAGTTATGGCTTACCAAGCTTATTTAGTGGAGACTGATTATCCAGTCTATATCCCACTTCTTCGTTTGGCCAACGTGTTTTTGTGCTTAATTATGATATCGGCGAAAATTTAGTATCCTTGTGCAAAATTCTTTTATGGTCTCTGGCACACAATATACAATTTGCTAAAATATCTTCGAGCCAATTTCACGTGAATCAAGTTTTCATTAACATTCGGTTAGACTTTTGAAGTTGGTTAGGTATATTTATTTTCTCATGCCAATTCTACTTTTAGTGCAGATCACATCTGCATCTGCTAGCCTTGCTGAGTCTATAAGACACCCAATTTCAAAGATCATGTTGTCATGAAAATATTACATTCATATGCAAACGACGACGTATTACGCACATTATATTTTGTGTGTACTTATCAGTCAGGTATTCCGACTTTATGGAAACGACCAATATTATGTT